GCGCGGGCCCCGCCGAGCCGCCTGTGCCCCGGGCCGGGGGCGCTGCTCGGAGCCGGCGGCTGCTTCTGCCCCCCCGGCCCTGGCCTTCCCGGCCGGGGGTCCGAGGCCGCAGCTCCCCTCCGGCCCCTTCCCGGGGGTCTGCTCCTGGGCGGGTCGCGGGCGGGGCAGAGCTGCACTGGGCCCTTCCGTTACTCGACGTAGCAAATCGGTGCGGCCGCTGCGAGCCCGGGTCCCGGGGCAAGCGCCTGCCCCGCTGGTAGGAAGCCTGGTGGGCCCCTTCCTCAGCAGATGCCGTGGCCTTATTTCCAGCTTGTCGCAGGGAGCTGTTTGCCCGTTACAGATGGGCAGAGCCACTTCCGTGCTGGGTTTGAAAGAAAGGAGATTTAGGCTCCCAGTGCCTCGTGATTCTTACTGGGAGTCGGACATTTCATCTCTCTTGCTGACTTGAAAGCCCCAGTAAGCCCTTCAAGCTGTGTGACTGGATGATGGATGTCCGTACCTGGTGGTAGGGGCATAGGAAAGCGGGGCTGGAAGTGGGGCTCCATGAGAGCACCTAGCCCAGCCCTCTGCTCAGGGCAGGATCATCCCTGACTAAACCGTCCCAGACAAGTGTCTGTCAAACCTGCTTGCGAAAACTTCCAGGGATGAAGGTTGCACGACTTCTCTTGGGCTTGACCCCCTGCGTTGTCAGAAACTTCCTTCCCGTCTCCACCCTAGACTCCCCGCTGTAGCCTGAGTCTGTGGCTCCTCGTTCTGTCGCCTGTGGCCAGAGAGATTAGTCTCTCTCCATCCTCTCTCTCTTTGTCCTTCAGATATTTGATGATTGTTATCCAATTCTTTCTAGGTCTTCTTTTCAGACTGGATAAGCCTAGTTTTTTCAGCCTTTCCTCTTAAGCCTTGCTTCCCAGGTAAAGGGGCAGTGGTTCTGATGTTGCAGGGCAAGTGAGGTCTGGCAACAAATCTTTCCCTTGTGCACACACTTGCTTTTTATTGGTATATCCAGGCAGGCTCTGAGAGAGCTTCTGGGCAACATGCTTAATGCAAGGAGAGGTCTTGTCTTCTGAGGGTTCTCCACTCGCATCTGGTTTCTGGATGGACTCAACGATGCCTGCAGGTGGAATCGTGGCAGTTTGGTGATTCAGTGAAGGCTTGGTATGCAGTTAATTCAGTGCCTTGTTTGGGGAAACATTAGGATAATCTCAAATGAGTTCTTCAAAATGTCTAGGAATTTTGAGATCCTTGCAGTTGGGAGAGAGCCTGCAAAAAGCTCATGAGGGAAGGCCTCAAACTTGTTCTGGGAGGAACCAGAGGTTGCCTCTAAGAATAGAGGCTCTGGACTGGGCTCCCAAGTGAGGTGGTGCTCTCTCCTACCTTGGGAGTCTTCAAGAGGAGGCTGGACAGATATTTGGCTGGGGTGATATGACTGTGGCACCCATTGTTGCTCGGGGCAGAGGGTCAAACCTCATGATCTGTTTAGGTCCCTTCCGAGCCTAAGCACTATGAAACTGAAATAGAATTTAGCCTCTTGATTCATTCAGGGTGAAATACAGGCAGTCCTCGAGTTACAACGTTTCAAGTTGCAACCTTTCACACTTACAACATTTATAAATTGACACCTTTTTCCAACTTTATGATGTCAGTTTCAACTTTACAATGCTTGATCTAATGCAATGACATACCAGCAAACAAGTCCGCTGCATCACTCATCTCCCTGGAGAACATCTGTCCAAATTTCCTTGGACACTTTCTTTAATAAAGCAGATAACACTCCAGAAAAACCTGCAACCAAGACTCCTGAGAAGACTCCAGCTGAGAACCCTTCAAAAAGTCTGGGGAAAGTCACCTCAAAGAAGTCCTTCCAAGTCCATATGATTTCTATTTGCAATATAAATACATTAATGTAGCTATATTGCTCACCTATAATTAATTGAGTATAACATTCTAGGGTATTTTTGGTGAAAATAGGATATTGGTTCAGGAACCAATCCCCCATTTATAACATTGTTTCTTATGAGAACATTGGTTCCGAAATGCAACGTTTTGACTTACGGCATGATTTTCAGGAACCAATTGTTGCAAGTCCGAGGACTGCTTGTATGGGTATTATAAGCATTTGGTTCCAAAAGGTTCTGGGTTAAAGCTAGGCATGAGGAAATTCCTCTGGCACAGAATAAGAGAAAAGTAAGGCTGAAAGGGACTTCCTGAGGTCCTAAACCTACCCACTAAACCAGTGGTTCTCAGCCTTTTTAGATTGAAGGAACCTTTCTTTCAGCTCAAGGCACCTCTTGGAAAATGCCAGCTCTTTTTTCCCCTCATTTTTTGACTACAGAAAAATACTTGAGCAATTCTGTTGCAAAGAACTGAAAGACCACAACAGGACAGAATATTTTTAACACCATGTATCCCTCTTTGAAATCTCTGGTTTTATCTTGTGAATCAGGTTTGCACACCTAAACCATCTGATTTAAGTGTCTGTCTAGCCTGCGCTTGGAAATGTCCAGGTATGGAGATTCCAGAGCTTTGCTAGGTAACCTGTTCCAATGTTTGACCACGCTTCTAGGGAAGGTTGGATATCCAGAAGAAATTTCTCCTGCTGGAATTTGAAACCATTGCTTCTAGTACTGTGCCCTGTGGCCACACACAGAATAATTTAATCTCCATCCTCTTTATGATCACCCTTCAGGTATTTGAAGAATGTTATCAAATTCGTTCTCGGTGTTCTCTTCTCCAGACTAAGTAAGCCTGGTTATTTCGGCCTTCTTAAGTCTTGCTTCCCAGGTAAAGGGGGCAGTGGTCCTGATGTTGCAAGGCAAGTGAAGTCTGGCAACAAAATGAATTTTTCCTGGTTATCACTTCAGCTATATTTAAACTAGTTCCTAAAATGCCAGTGGAGAAATGAAAGAAACCCAACTTTTGCTGCTCAGTACTGTGTCACAAAAATATATAAAGACTTCATAAGCAATAATTATTGATGAGTATTCAATCTCTCCAGTTGAAGTAGGTGGTTTTTAAAATTGTGAACAGTAGTTAGGGACGATGGCAAAAGTAAGAACAAGACTGCATTCTGCAAAGTGGAAGTCTCCACTTCCATATTGAGTGGTAGCAGTGAGCTTAATGCCTCCAGGATCTATTTAAGGATCTGCATGTAGTTTTATGCCCTCTTTTTTTAAAATTAATTCTTAATTGGCAATTATTTGACTGCTGTTTAAGAGCATCCTTTTGTGTATCAGTGAAGTGCTTGCTAAAGGTCCAGAGTCAACTGGGTAATGGTGAATTATAGTCCTGCGAGAACAGCAAGGCAGTTCAGGGTTCTTTCTTCGCTGCCTTGTCAGTGTGCAGTCAACAGCACTTTTATCATCAGATGATAACTTTGCTACCATCCCAGAATCTCAGCTGGGAGTCTGTTTCAGAGGCTTTATCAGTTGACCAGAGCATGTCATTTTACCAGTTTCCTGCAAAGCTTGAGCTCTCTGCCATAGATGGGCAGTTCCTGTACACTGCATGTAGTTATTCTGTCCCAATTGCAAACTTTGTTATTCTAGAACTAAGATGTCATTTAAAATTGGCTCAACTTGTGGCATACAAAGTTACCTTTTATTTCTTGACATTAGAACACAGCTAGGCATTTCATTTGTTCTAGCTCCTCTGTCTGATCTTATTCTGAGGCTGTTCTCCAGAAGTGGTAGGAAAGCATGATACTCACTCTGTTTATGTAACTTTTAAAAAAAATTCCTACTAACATGCCAGACACTAAGATAGGCTTTAGCATCTAAAACTGGAAAATCTGCAAAGACAGTAAGTTCATAATAAGCAGAAATAAATCCAGAGCAGAGTTCTGGGTGGTACCTGTTTTGGAGAGAGAGATCCAGTTTGAGGACAGATAATCAATTGGGTATCTTCCTTTGCCTGAAAGGATCTGTAGGATCCTTTAAGTGTTTTTCCTGTATTTTAAACTGGTATTTTTCTTAAACTGGAAATACCTTGATGTCTTGTAGCCTGCTCCCCTGTCTTGGGGTAGGATCAAATATACGTGAAATATCCCTAATGTGAAATATATATATGAAGTTGAACACAATGTTTCATTGGCATACAAAAAACTAGAACTCTTAGTTCCAAAATGATACCTTGGTTCCAAAATGTTTCACTGATATATTTACAGCTTTAAAGCAGTTTGGAAGCCTATTAGTGCCTCAATCACTATAGTAAAATAAATTCAAAATATCTATAAATGTTGATGTTTGTTTTTTGGGGTTTTTTAGCATGGAAAATTAGCTCTTCCCACCCCCCTTCACTCACCGGGACACAGATCCAGGTGCGGGTGTTCCTCTTCCCCCCCCCCCCTCAGCCCCATTGATTCTCGCTCCCTACCCCTCACCTACCCCTGCCAGAGGGGGACTACAGGGGCAGGACCCAAGTCTGCAGCCCCCTGCAGCATACCTTGAGCCCCAGCTGCTGCCCACAAGAGGTGGCAACCTGGCTTCAGGTGTGTGGAGCCTGACTTCCACTCCCCCATGGGCAGCTCTGGCCCATGGGGAGGGGAGGTATGCGGGCTGACCGCTATGGGCTTGGGCTCCTTGCCCTGCTGTCCTCCCCAGGGCCTCTGCAGCCCAATGGACTGGACTGGACTGGACTTGGTGCAGCAGGGCAGAGCAGGACCAGGTGGAGAAGCTAGTTGCTACTGCCATGGAGAGGTGCCCCCTGCCTGCCTGGCAGCAGTGGGTGGTGCAGGGTTGTGCCTGCTGCTGCTGCAGTGGGCAGGGGGCACTTTGCCATGGCACTGTAGGTATTGCAGCAGCAGCAGCACTGAGCTTCCCTGCTTGGTCCTGCTCTGCCCTGCCCACTGGGATGCAGAGGCCCTGGGGCAGGACAGCAGGGCGGGGAACCCGAGCTCTACAGCAGCCAGCCTTCCTTCCCCACCCCAGATCTGTGGGGCATGTGCCCTCCCAAGAGTGTGCTCAGCA